GCAGTACGTGAGGTATTACTGACGTGAGGACCGAAAGAGAGTAAACTGTCAAATATGACACCAAGGCTCTTTGTTTGGGAGGAAATGTGAACCATGCTGTTGTCAATGGTAATAGTGAAAGAGTTTTGGAAAGTGTGGACTTAGAGTCAATTACAAGAAGCTCACTTTTATTGCCATTGAGTTTTAAGAAATTATTTGCCATCCAAGTATTGATGTCCTGAAGACAGGCAGTGAGGATGGGGGGACAGGGAGGTGTTTGGTTTTGTGAAGATATAAATCTGAGTATCATCGGTGTAACAGTGAAAATGCATGCCATGATGGCAGAGAATATGTCCAAGGAGTAAAAGGTAGATGATAAAAAGGTGTGGTCCCAACACCGATCCCTGCGGGACACCCTGACTAACCAGGGCCATTCTTTATCTGGACAAACTGTTTTCTGCTGTTGAGGTAGGAAGAGAACCAGAGAAGAGCAATGCTGTCAGCCAGGCATTCCAATAATAGCGAATGGAAGATGGTATCAAAGGTGGCACTGAGGTCGAGGAGGATGAAGATGGTCAGAAGGCCAGAATCAGCAGCATGAAGGAGGTCGTTAGTAATTTTAACAAGTGCTGTTTCAGTGCTGTGTTTGGGACGGAAACCAGATTGAAATGGCTTGTGAAGATTACTGCTTTGCAGGTGAGCCTGGAGCTGAGATGCCGTTCAAGAATTTTTGCTATAAAAGGAAGATTGGAAATGGGCCAGTAATTATTTAAATCATGAAGATCTGCACCAGTTATTTTCAGAATGGGTGTAATGGAAGTAATTTTTAACGAGGAGGGAACAGTGGCAGTGGACAGAGAAGAATTAATTATGGACGTTACAACGGGGAAATTGAGGAAAGGTCGGCTTTAACCAGGCTAGTAGGAAGGGGATCCAGTTAGCAAGCAGACAACCTGGACTTGGTAATGAGTTCCATGATATCCTGATATAAATGATATAAGACCAAGACTGGTGGAGGGCAACAGTTTCAGGATAATCAATGAGAGGGAGTACCCCATCACAGATGTAGAAGAGGCCAGTGATTGATGAGTGTTAGTGATTTTGGGGCTGAAGGATTCCAAAAATGCAGAACATTCCCTAGTGGAGATGAAATGAGAAGAGGTGTTTTCTGGAGGCTTAGTAATTTGTTGACAGTGGAGAATAATGTCTGTGTATTACTTTGTCCAGAACTAATAATATTAGTGTAGTAGGATGATTTGGCAGCATTGAATGCATTCTTAGAACCTATCAGGTGACAAGAGTATAGTAAGTCCATTTTTTTAGACAACCTCTCCAAACGACAGCCCAGAGCTTTTTGCTGTCGATGCTCAGAGGTATACCATGGAGAGGAGTGAACAAATTAAACTGTATCGGTTTTCAAGGGAGGCAAGGTGTCTAGTGTAAGGGATAGACTGTCATTATAGCAATTTACCAGGTCTAGGGTGGAGGAGGAGTGGCTAGTGAAATTAAAAGCATGACTAATTAATCTGTTGAAGGTTCCTGGAGGACTAGTGGTTAGGCCATGGCACAATCACCGCCATGGCCTGGGTTCGAATGTCGGCCGAGGGAACCAACCCCAGCCACTTGGGGTGCACTCCCAGTGCCGGTCCCAATCCCGGATAAAATTGGGGGTGGTTGCGTCAGGAAGGGCATCCGGCATAAAAACTGTACCAAATGAAATATGCGGATTAATGATCTGCTGTGGCGACCCCTAACAGGAGCAGCCGAAAGAACAACAACAACTAACGAATCTGTTGAGGTCACTGGGGTTAACATTTTTAATATTACGAAAAGATATATGGCTATCTAGGTTAGATTCTGTTAAGGGAACAGTGACATCAAAAAAGACAAGCTTGTGATCAGAAATGGGAAGTTCAAGAATAACAAACTAAATCTAAGATGTAGATGTGATCTTTATTGTGTGGTGAGAACTTGACTGATTAAGGTCAAAACTATCCAGAATGGAGTTAAAATCCTTATGAAGTGTGCTGGTAGGGTTATCAAAATGAATATTAAAATCTCCCATTCAGGACATAGCACACAAACTTGTGAAAATAGAAGTGAGCTCCATAAGAGATATAGTAGAGGGGTTGGGAGGTTTATAAATATTCGACTGCATACAGACTGTAGATATCAAACAAAATGCATTTGAAATAAATAATTAATAGCAATACCTGTTTGTTTAATACATGTGTAATTATGCAGGAAAGGGGTCAAGTGTACGAAAGAGTGCTAACTAGCTAGACAACCTAAACTTTCACAACACACTACGACCTGATTTACTGTACCTTCAAATCCATGTCACCGCTGAGACTCCTTTCTGTTCTCACGGATGTCTGTCTTATATTTTTCAACGTTTATTAACAATGCTTGTCACTAAAGAAAATACTAGCAATTTTATCTTAGGTGAACAGACTGAAAATACACTTTGGTTAATCAGCAACAATACCCACATTATCTAATCTTACTTCCTAGTAAATTTCCGCTCTGTCAAAATAAAAGTCACATACCCAAGCCGTGCCCTGCGTCTACTTCTAATTCGCATACTTACACTATACACTAAAGGTATGTACTCTTTTTGTGAAGTAGTGAAACATTCTAACGCGTCATGTACCGGAAGAGAGCGTTGTTGCCTAGTTACGCACACTGTCACAGGAAACAAAGCTTTTCTTCATTCATTATTCCTTACAGAATGTATACTATATAATTTAATTTACCATTCCATTGATTTATTTTTCCACATTTCATTTACAGCTCTGTAAAATACGTCCACCGAAGCAAACCGTCACAAAACTCCTCCTCCGTCGCGCAAGGAGTTGTGGGAAATCTTAGCTGGAAAAAGTGTCCATGGATCCACACTTCGAAAATGTACCGGAAATAGTAGAGCATCCGGGTACCTTTGGGATATTCGTTTCAATAGACTTCGATTTAGGACACACTAATTCTAATCTCGGACACTATTTAGGACGGATAGTGGGCGAATTGAGACGCAGCAATGGATACAGCTGTGTTGTTTTTGGTCATGTGAGAAAATGAACAGGTAGGACATCAAAACAAGAGCGAGATGTGGATGGATCTTGCACCTGTGCTGTACACACTGATCAGAGTCCACACCAAAATAGTTTCACTCCTTTATTATCATCCTGTCACTCGTTTTCCAGACAAAGATCTGTAGTTTACTAGTTTAATCAGAAACAATGTTGACTTTTCAGAATACTCAGTATGCAGTTAGTCTATATGAGGATGCTGTAACATTGCATGAGGACAGAGAGAGGACAGGGCAGATAGACCACACATGAAGACAGGGGAACTATGTCTACATGACTATGACTACAGCTATTTCAGTGGATAATTAAAAGGTTTAGACATTTGAAATGTTTAGACATAAATTAAAAAAAAAAGTTGAAATGTGTGTTTGCTTGTGATCATGGTGATAACTAGTTATCAGGTCTGGATCTTGGTAGGTTTAGAAGGTTTTGGCCACTTGTCTGTTTTTGTTAATACATCACTGCCTACCTTTTGCTTAGTTTTAGGCACGTGCAAAGAAATGCGGTAGAGCAATGATGCCTTCAAAAATAATGAAATTAAATGTTTCTACATTTTAAAAAATACTATAAAGAGCAGTAAACAGTAATAAATGAAACAAAGTCAATATTTGGTGTGACGATCCTTCGCTTTAAAAAAATTAGTAGTCTCAGGTACAATTAGTGCAGTTTTATAAGGAAATGAGCTGTAAGTGTTACTGAGCATCTTGCAGAAGCAGCCACAGTTCTTCTGGAGACTTTGACTGTCACAGTTGCTTCTTATTTTTGCAGCAAAACCCAGCAGCCTTCATTATGTTTTTTTTTGTCTGAAAAGTGTCTCTTATGTAATACGCTGCTTTCTTTACTGACATACAAACATTTTTCTGTAACATTTAATTTTGTGCTGGAAAACTAATGTTTGGAAATCTAAAATGTTTTTGTACTGAATCAATAATGTAGAAGTCATAAAATAAAAATCTATAACAAAGTTTGTACTAAAAAATATAGGGTGCCTAAGACTTTTGCACAGCACTGTATATATATCACAGATACTATATATATCACATTCCCATGCTAACTCTTATTAAAAATGTCCAACCATAGATATAACTCCAGACTTGCCACCGAAGCTAATCTGCTCATTCAAATCACTCTTTGCTTAGATAAGATCATAAATTAAATTACACAAATGACTTTGATTTAGAAATCATACTATATAATAATAATAATAATAATAATAATAATAATAATAATAATAATAATATACAATAGCCAATCATGTGGCAGCAGCGTAATGCAAAAAAATCACGCAGATGCACGTCAAACGCTTGAGTTAATCTGGCAATTTTCCTCTGACCTCTCTTATCAACAAGGTGTTTCCACCCACAGAACTGTCGCTCACTCAATATGTTTTGTTTTTCGCACCATTCTGAGTAAACTCTAGAGACTGTTGTGTGTGAAAATCCCAGGAGATCAGCAGTTTATGAAATACTCAAACCAGCCCTTCTGGGACCAAAAACCCTGCCACGGTTAAAGTGACAGAGATCACATTTTTTTCCCCATTCTGATGTTAGATGTGAACATTAACTGAAGCTACTGTCCTGTATCTGCATGATTTTATCTATTGTGCTGCTGCCACATGATTGCTGATTGGATAACTGCATAAATGAGCAGGGCTACAGGTGTTCCTAATAAAGTGGATGGTGAGTGTATATGCACAGTCTAATCTTGTTTACATTGAACAAGCCTACTCCTGAGCGGGTTTGAGCTTTTGGAATTGTTTTCTTGGTAAGAAGTCTGACAGTAGTTTCAAAGAACAGACAAATCCAAAATCAGGTCCTTTCCCTCAAAGCAGGGTTTAATGATTATCTAGTTAACTATAGTTTGATCTAACCCTGATATTCTGTTTCATGTTTGGGGATCACCTTTTACCCATGGTACATAACGGTAACTTATGGGTCCTTGGAGGACTAGTGGTTAGGACACAGCACTGTCACTGCTGCGGCCCAGGTTCGATTCCCAGCTAGGGAACTAACCAAGCCACCGGGGTTGCATGCAACAGAATGCTCTCAGTGCTGGTCCCAAGCCCTGATGAAATTGGGGAGGGTTGTGTCAGGAAGGGCGTCCGGCATAAAAACTGTGCTAAATCAAATACGCAGACCAATGATCCGTGTGGCGACCCCTAAGAGGAGCAGCCGAAAGAGGAACATCATAATGGTAACTTATGATGCATGCCAGGTTATAGTCAGAATCAAAGATTGTAAATAGCTCTTGTAACAATTAATTGCTGAAAGTGTAATTTATTCCGTTATACCAAATAAATGACTTATTTACAGCCTTAGTGTTTATGTATTACATATGCCATCTCACTTATCTATTGATTTGACTGATCTGTATATTACATATTACAGAGATATTACAGTAATACAGTGGAGCTACTATGAGAAAGGACACCTGAAGTTAACCATTATAGACCCCATTACCCCAGACCCCTAGAGTCATACACAGAAACAGTATGGCTTTATAGTTCATTTCTAGCTGCAAATGTCTGATAACTGATATATACGAAGATATATGATGTTTTATGCAAATAGAGTAAATACTTGTACTTCTGTTGAAACATCTGTTGTCAGTTTCTTAAGACAAAACACAAGCTATTTGACCAAATGAAACAGTTTATTTTGAATTAAACCAGCACCAAAATAATATGCCTGAGATACTTGTGATTTCATCAAAACAGTAATCCTTATAAAATTTGTGCTATAATCTTGTCATAAATCATTTAATTTTCTTGGGTAAAGTTTCCATGTTGAAAAAGCAATTTCTCAAATATGAAATTTGACATAATTGTCTAGATTACCTACAAAGCACAAATAATCAACTTATCAAGCCAGGTTTACAATAATAGTATTGCACTTGGAAATCCTTGGCTATGTCCTTTGAAACTACCCACTACAAAACAATATCAGAAAAGAATTTCTATTGTCAAGTTTCCCAAGAGCCTAACCTTGTTAACAAAATTCTATACAAGATTGATACGTTTGAAAAGAAGAAAAAAAAAAAACCATAATATGCATTTTGTGTTGCAGTGACACATCTAAAGGATTATCATAGACTATTTTATGATAGTGGCGTTGTTCATTAAAAAAACAAGACGTTTGGTCAAAAAGCACTCATTCCCCTCAGCAAAACCATATTTATAAAAGTATACAAAGAAGATACAGGCCAGTTCTTCAGTTCATTCCTGCAGTAATATAACATCAACATTGTCATGAACTCCTTGCAGCAAGAGCTCGCCCTGAAACGTGATGACCTTCTTTCGCTTGGCTGCTTTCAGTGTTCCAACGAGTGCCTCGAAGAGGTTGGCACACTTGTCATCGTTGAATAGGACACCGAATTTGACACTGATTTTACCATCTGCATCTGTAAAAGAGGAGGAGTGGTTATTGTATTAGAATGCTATAAAGCCGAGTTTACCAAAGTTTTCATCATAATCGCAATGAACAATCCACTGTGTGTATCAGAAGCTCTAGTAGCAGTAAATAGGCAGTAAATAGAGCTCAATGCTTAAAAGCTTAATACTGTCCAAGTTAATTCTGGAATTATCAACATCAGTATGTTGTGGATTCTGACCAAGAACTGGTCAGCTATGTTAAATGGAATGATTTATAGTAATTTTCTTAGTTTTACATTTATATCAACCAAGCAGACTTCTCTTAAAAAAAGCCTGATGCTTCTTGCATCAGAAGACACTGATGCAAGTAACAACGGCTATGTTGTTTCCACCAGTGGACCCAAAACAAGTCAAAGGAAGAACAGAAAAAGCCTCCGATAACCACAAGGGCTAGAGTTTGTGCTACTGCTCAGAACTGCTACAAAGACTTGTCAAAATACATTGTCAATTAAGCACAAAGTTATACAAGTAACTGTCAATAAAACAGGTGAAATATGAAGAAGGATTACTGATGGAAAAAGATATTACAGTACAAGTTCTTCACAATCATTGTGATGAAAAGTGGTATCAGTTGTGTAAATATTGTAGGTATTTCTTGAGGGAACACACACACACACACACACACACACACACACAGGCCTGATTATCAAAATGGGAGGAGCGTCACAATGCCAGGACTTGCAAAAGATTTTGCCACTAGAAGCAAACTAGGCTTTATTAGGGCTCAGTTAACCCTTTCTCGCAGTACACTGCCGTTCCATCGACTTAACGGACATTTTCAATCAGTATAAACAAATGATTTTTTTTTTTTATCTCTTTAAGATTAGTCAGGATGCAGTTGGGTTTCTGTGTGTAGAATATCATGACTCTGTGTTTAGCTGCTGGTGAGCAGGGCAATTGGAAAGAAATACGAAAAACTGCAAATCCTTATTGCCCTGACTGTCTATTTTCATATGAGCCATAAACCACTACTGTGGAGTGTGACATCACAAATAAATACAATGCTGAACATGGGCACCCCAAAACAGGTGGAAATTCCAGCTTTTGGCCTCTGGTAAAAAGAGTTAAAAATGCAGCTGTGAATGTGTGTCTTCATAGTGCCCTGTGATGGACTGGTGTCCCATCCAGGATATATTCCCATCTCAAGCCCAATGTTCCCTGGATAGACTCCAGATCCCTGACCAGGATAAAGAGGTTTCTGAATGGATGGATGAATGAATGAATGAATCTGTAAATGTAGTAACTAATTAAATTAACTGCAGGTTCCCCCAAAAGGAAAAGTCTCCTCATTTGAAACAATGAAGCATGCATACAGATAAGACAAGGATTAATAATAATCAAGGAGGTAGATATACTTACTTTCGCTGCCAAGCCTACGAATCTCATTCACCAGGAGTGTGACCTCATGATCCACATTCATTTTTTTCACTGAAACAGCAAATGCATTTTAGTTGATTTGTCAGAGTCATTATGGAATTTCTTGAAAACATGATTTAGTGCACATTTTTACAAAGTGCTAAGGCAGAAATGCCTTGTTAATGAGAGAGGTCAGGGGAGAATGGCCAGACTGATTTGAGCTGACAGGAAGGCTACGGTAACTCAGATAACCGCTCTTCACATCTGTACTGAGCAGAAAAGCATCACAGCATGTCAGCCATCTTCTCATTCCAATCACCAAAGTCATGTTAAATGTCTTTTGTGATTGGAGTATTTATGCTCTACTGCCTCTCTGTGTACTCACCCCCACTATTTCCCATACTCCCTCCCTACATGCTTCTTATTCCTGTTGCACTTTGTTTATGTCCTGTAAGAACAGTGTATGTCATACACGTATCTTGCACCTTGGGTCCAGGAGAAAGGTTATATCATCTCACTGTATACTGCACATTGTATATGTCTGTAATGACAGTAAAGGGCCACTTGACTTGACAAACAGGAATCTGAGGCTACAGTGGACAGAGGCACACCAAATCTGGGTAGATTGGAAAAAGACCAGACAAACACACGATGCATATGTGCGTGCGTGTGTAAGTATATATAGTTTAGAGCCCCTGGCACATGCGAGCTGGCAAAGGCGGATTAAGACTCAAATTCAGACTTTACTAATGACAGAGCTGAACATGGCTGTATAACAGAAGCATTTATTGCATACACTCTATCATACAGTCACACTCACACACACACACACATGTAGGCGACTCTCACCTCCCCTGACAGTTAGAAATATACCAGAAAATACCAGAACCAAATTTCAAGTTGAAAACCCCAGATATAAAGATGTGCAGGTAAGAAGGAGAAAAACTTTGCAGAACTTCTAAGAGCTATACAGAAAAGAAAGCATGCAAATGTTCAACACTGTATTTCTATTTGAACTATTCAATTCAATTCAATTTTATTTGTATAGCGCTTTTAACAATGGCCATCATCACAGAAATATATAAATTCAGGATATAAGTTTTAAACATATAAATTTATCCCTAATGAGCAAGCCAGGGGCAATGGTGGCAAGGAAAAACCCCCTGAGACGACATGAGGAAGAAACCTTGAGAGGAACCAGACTCAGAAGGGAACCCATCCTCATCTGGGTGACACCGAATAGTGTGATTATAAATAATTCCCTTCTATAACTGTGTACTATATGGTCAAAAAGTGCAATTGTGTACACAGGAAATTCACAGTTTTCACATGAAGTCTATTTTGTTGAAATTATCAACTGTTCACTGATGGAGACTTGAGTGCAAAACTCTTATTGGGAATTGCAGTCCTAAAGCTATAATAGCAACTGTAGTCCTAAGCCATCGTAGCAAGAATGTTCATTTCAATTGCAGTCCAAAGCCATCTTCATGGTATTTAAGTGGTACCATCCACAGTAATCATGCCATCAGCCGTCAGACTCTACAATGCCACAACCAGCCCCAGTACCTCCTAGTCCACTGACTGAGTCTCACAAACACACACACACACACACTCAACAGTTAATTGTCATTCCACAGATATCGCACATGTATATAAATACCAGGGATATCGCACATGTACATAATACAAATAGAAGCCTAGCATATGTACATACACACAGATCTATTTTATTGTTTCTATTATTGCTATTGTATAGGTATTTATGGAAATTCTTTTCTTTGATGTTATTCCTCCTACTTATGCTGCTGTTTTAATTTGAATTTCCCTTTTGGGGGATCAGTAAAGGTACATCCCATCCCATCCCATCCTATCCTATCCTATCCTATCCCATGCTATCCCATCCCATCCTATCCTTTCCCATGCTATCCTATCCTATCCCATGCTATCCTTTCCCATGCTATCCTTTCCTATCCTATCCCATGCTATGCTATCCTATCCTTTCCTATCCCATCCCATCCTATCCTATCCCATGCTATCCTATCCTTTCTTATCCTATCCTATCCCATCCTATCCTATCCCATCCCATCCCATCCTATCCCATGCTATCCTATCCTATCCTTTCTTATCCTATCCTTTCCCATCCCATCCTATGCTATCCTATCCTATCCTATCCTATCCCATCCCACACTATGCTATCCTATCCTATCCTATCCTATCCTAT